GGGGTGCGGTCTTTGGGTGCCTTTCCCCGTGTCGCACCGCGTTGCGCCGGGGGCTGCGTTGCAGGGGGCTGGGCGGCGCTGCACAGCCTTGCACGGCAGCCTGGGACGTTGCCTGGCATCGCACGGGGCCGTGGGGCATCGCACGGGGCCGTGGGGCGTCACACGGGGCTGCAGGGTGTCGCACAGCGCATTGTGGCGTCGCACGGCACAGCGTGGCATCGCACGGAGCCCGGTAGCATTGCGCAGCACCGCGCAGCATCGCACAGCCCAGCGTGGCATCGCACGGTGCCGTACGGCATCGCTCAGTGCCGCGTGGCGTTGCACGGTGTCGCGTGGCAGCGCACGGCACCACAGCCTTGGGTGCTCCTGTGCACCCTTGGGTGCTGCTGGGGGTCCTGAACGCACCCTTGGGTGCTGCCGGGGTCCTGAACGCAGCCTTGGGTGCTCCTGTGCACCCTTGGGTGCTGCTGGGGGTCCTGAACGCACCCTTGGGTGCTGCCGGGGTCCTGAACGCAGCCTTGGGTGCTCCTGTGCACCCTTGGGTGCTGCTGGGGGTCCCGAACGCACCCTTGGGTGCTGCCGGGGTCCTGAACGCAGCCTTGGGTGCTCCTGTGCACCCTTGGGTGCTGCTGGGGGTCCTGAACGCACCCTTGGGTGCTGCCGGGGTCCTGAACGCAGCCTTGGGTGCTCCTGTGCACCCTTGGGTGCTGCTGGGGGTCCCGAACGCACCCTTGGGTGCTGCCGGGGTCCTGAACGCAGCCTTGGGTGCTCCTGTGCACCCTTGGGTGCTGCTGGGGGTCCTGAACGCACCCTTGGGTGCTGCCGGGGTCCTGAACGCAGCCTTGGGTGCTCCTGTGCACCCTTGGGTGCTGCTGGGGGTCCCGAACGCACCCTTGGGTGCTGCCGGGGTCCTGAACGCAGCCTTGGGTGCTCCTGTGCACCCTTGGGTGCTGCTGGGGGTCCTGAACGCACCCTTGGGTGCTGCCGGGGTCCTGAACGCAGCCTTGGGTGCTCCTGTGCACCCTTGGGTGCTGCTGGGGGTCCCGAACGCACCCTTGGGTGCTGCCGGGGTCCTGAACGCAGCCTTGGGTGCTCCTGTGCACCCTTGGGTGCTGCTGGGGGTCCTGAACGCACCCTTGGGTGCTGCCGGGGTCCTGAATGCAGCCTTGGGTGCTCCTGTGCACCCTTGGGTGCTGCTGGGGGTCCCGAACGCACCCTTGGGTGCTGCCGGGGTCCTGAATGCAGCCTTGGGTGCTCCTGTGCACCCTTGGGTGCTGCTGGGGGTCCTGAACGCACCCTTGGGTGCTGCCGGGGTGCTGAATGCAGCCTTGGGTGCTCCTGTGCACCCTTGGGTGCTGCTGGGGGTCCTGAACGCACCCTTGGGTGCTGCCGGGGTCCTGAACGCAGCCTTAGGTGCTCCTGTGCACCCTTGGGTGCTGCTGGGGTCCTGAATGCACCCCTGGGTGCCTGAACACGCCCCTGGGTGCCTGGTGCACCCACAGGTGCCCGTACGCAGCCATGGCTGGTTGGACGCAGCCCCGGCACCCCCGGGTGTCTGCGGGTGCCCCCGGTGCTTGTGGGTGCCGTTGGGTGCCTCCAGGCACCCCTGGGTGCTCCTCGAGGTCCCCGCCTGCACCCCGGTGCCTCCCCGGGCACCCGTGTGCTCCCCCCCATCGGTATCCATGTGCCCCCGCCCCGGGGCACCCGTATGCAACCGGTACCTACCCCGGGACGTGCGTGTGCACCCTGACACGCGTGTGCACCCCGACACGCGTGGGCACCCTGACGGGGGACGCGCACCTTGGGACTTGTGCGCGCCCCGACACGCGCCTGCACCCCGGTGCCTCCCCGGGCACCCGTGTGCTCCCCCCCATCGGTATCCATGTGCCCCCGCCCCGGGGCACCCGTATGCAACCGGTACCTACCCCGGGACGTGCGTGTGCACCCTGACACGCGTGTGCACCCCGACACGCGTGGGCACCCTGACGGGGGACGCGCACCTTGGGACTTGTGCGCGCCCCGACACGCGTGTGCGCCCCCGGCCTGCCCCCCGCCGCGGTGCCTT